GGGGGGTGTGACCAGGTGGCCTAGTCATATCTGGCCTGAAGCTGCATTTAAGCTCCCCTACTGATGTGGCATGGGACTCACTTTGTCCACAAGAGAGCTCTCAGAGGGCATGCGCTTGCTTCTCTATTAGACTTGGCTTATCATTTAGAGTCAGGGTTCACAAAATTACACAAAATTTCAGTTGGAATAATAATAGCTAGCGTGTATATATGGTGCTTTAAAATTTGCAAAATGCTGTACATATATTATTTCATTTGATCTGCCTAATAATGATGATAATAGACAACATTTATACAGCACCTACTATGCCAGGCACTGTGCTACGCACTTTGCAATTATAATCTTATTTGATCCTCACAACAGTTCTGGGATGTAGGAGCTATTATTATCTCCATTTTACAGATGAGGAAACTGAGGTTGACAGAGGCTAAGTGACTTGCCTACTTTCTGGCTTCCCTGGATTTCTTCAAGTCCCAAGGAAAATCACATTTTCACCAAAAAGACTTTCTCAAGCTCTCTTAATTCCAGTGCCTTCCTTCGGTTAATATTATTTCCTACTTATCCTTTATATAGCTTGCTTTGTGTCTATTTATTTGCATGTTGTCTCTCACGTTAGATCGGAAGCTCTGAGGACAGGACTACCTTTTGTCTCTTTCTGAATCTCCAGCCCTTAGCACAGTGCTTGGCACATAGTAGGTGCTTAATAAATGTTTATTAAATGGCTTAGTGTCACACAGCTAATAAGTATCTGAGGCAGGATTTAAACTCAGGACTTCCTGATTCCAGGTCCAGTGCTTTCTTGACTCTCAAATGAGATACTATTTGTAAAGTGTTTAGTGCAGTGCCTGGCACATAGGAGGTGCTAGATGAATGCTTATTCTCACCCCCATCTTCCCTTGACTGTATCTTTAGCTGCCTCATAAAGGCCCTTAGCAGCCATCCCTGAAAAAGAATCCCCACTCTAACACACTGGACAATGATCATCCAGTGTTTGCTTGAAGGCCTCCAGTGAAGGGCAGCTCACTACCTTCCAAGGTGGTCCAATATATTCTGGGTTATCCTAAATTTAGGAACTTTTTCTTAATGTCAAGACTAAATTTGTTTTGTTGCAATACTTACTCATTGCTCCCTAGTTCTCCCCTTCTGGGGCCAAGGGATACAGGGGTGGGGAACCTTTCAAGCCACACTGGAGGACTTAGAGGACTGCCACATGTGGTCTCGAGGCTACAGGTTCCCCATCCCTAGATTAGAACAAGTCTAATCAGATGAGGAAACTGATGCAGAGGTTAGGTGATTTGTGACTTTACAGCTAGTAAGTGTTTGAAGGCTGGATTTGAACTCAGACCTTCCTGAGCTCCATCCACTGTGCCACCTAGCTTCTTCTTGAAGGTAGCTATCATTTATTTCCTCCATGTCTTCTCCCAGCTAAACCTTCTCAGGTCTTTCAATTGATCCTTATGCGGCACAGATTTGACGCCCCTTAACATTCTGTCTGACATACACCAAATGCTCTTTGGCTTATCAATATCTCTCCTAAATTGTGGCTTCTAAAACTGAACAGAATTCTCCAGATATGAGTTCAAATTCAGCTTCAGATACTTGCTAGCTGTGTGACCCTAGGCAATTAACCTCTGATCACCTCAGTTTCCTCATCTGTAAAACAGGGATAATTATAGCACCTACATCATGGCTGTTGTGAGGATCAAATAAGAAGTTTGTAAAAGGTTTTGCAAACCTTAAAGTGCTACACAAACTCTAGCTATTATTGAGCATGGCAGAGGACAGCAGAAGCATCAGCTCCTTATTCCTGTAAGCTATGCCTCCCAATGCAGTGCGAGCACATATTACTTTTATTTCAATACTTTTTGATTCTCACGGCATACTCACTATTAAATCATACTGAGCTTGCAGCCCCCAGATAGGCCTCAAGATCTTTTTTTTCACATAGACGGCTATCAAGTCATACTTTCTCCATCCTAGATGTGTGAAGTTGATCTTATGAACCCAGGCATAAACTACCAAGATCAGAGAATGTTCTCTATTTCTCAGCAAATTTCTCTATCAAACTACTGATACTCTGGAGGCAGTGGCTTTGGCTCCCCTTCAGACCAAGGGAGTCCAGAGGACAAGAGTAAGACATGAAGGTAGTGAAAAAGACACCCACCTCAAAATCCAGCTCTGCATACCGAGATTTCCTCCTCTGTGAAGGCAGAGAAGAGAGAGCTCAGTGTGAATTTGCAAATTACTCTTAAAACATGCGTGAATTTTTTACTAGCTCCATCACCTGATTGCCCTCCCCCCCCCCCCATTCTAGCATCACTGGCCTTTTCTCATTCTCCTCCTCTTGAGGGGTGATCTGGGGTGTAGCAGGAGGCCCCTGGATCACACACTCCCCCCCCCCAAAAGTGAAATGCTTGAAATTGCTCCTGGTCCTTATGTTGAAACAGGAAAACAATCAAGGTGCTATCACGCCCTTAGTGCCAATGAGTTTTCAGATCCTTTCCTGAGCACTGCTGGCTTCAGACAGGTTTGAATGTAGGTAGAAAGATATTGAGGGAGGGATTAGGTCTAGGGCAGGAAATTAGGGAAGTAGGGAGAGGGAAGTACAACAAGAAGGCAGTGGAACCTCTATGAAATAGAAGTGGTGTATGGAGGAGAAAAGGACAGCTAGATGGTTCAGTGGATACAGCACTGAACCTGGAGTCAGGAAGTCCCAAGTTCAATTCTGGCCTCACGAACTCACTAAGCTGTGTAAGCCTGGGCAAGTCAGGTAACCTCTGTCTGCCTTAATGCACTGGAGAAGGAAATGGCAAACCACTCCAGTATCTTTGCCAAGAAAATCCATGGGTTCACAAAGAGTTGGACGTGACCGAACAAAAATGGAGGAAAAGAAGTGGGAACAACACAAAATATACTGCCTTAGTATAGTGCTACAGTAGGGAAGAGAACAACATTTATTAAGCACCTATTATGTGCCAGGCACTGTGCTAAGTGCTTCACAAATATTATCTCATTAGATGCTGGTATGATCCCCTTTTTACAGATGAGGAAACTGAGGCAGTCTGAGGTTAAATGACTTGCCCAGGGTCACACAGGTAGCAAGTGTCTAAGGCTGGATTTGAGCTCATGTCTTCCTGACTCCAGGCTCAATTCTCTATCCAGTGTGCCACCTAGCTGCCTTAGGGAGGTATTATGATGAGAATTAGCTCTTGAGTATTTGTTCTCTCTTGTCTGAAAGCATAGCTCAAAGTTGCCCCCTAGTTCCATACTGTCAGTACAACAGCTAAGTAAGAAATATATTGGTTTAGGTATATACCACTTAGCAAAAAGAAAAGAGGAAGGGTGGAAGGGAAGGGGGAAAGAAAGGGGAAGAGGAAAGGGAAAGGGGATAGGGAAGGTGAAAGAGAAAGAGGAGAAGAAGGGTAAGGGAAAGGGGAAGGAGAAGAGGGAAAGAAAGGGGAAGGGGAAGGGGTAAGGAAAGGGGAAAGGATAGGGGAAGAGGAAAGAAAGGGGAAAGGAAAGGGGAAGGAGAAGAGGAAGAAGAAGAAGGGGAAGGACAAAGAAAGAGGAAGGAGAAGAGGAAAAGAAAGAGAAAAGAGGAAAGGAAAGGGGAAAAGGAGAAAGAGGAAGGGGAAAGAGAAAAGGGAAGGGGAAGGGGAAAGGAAAGGAGAAGGGGAAGGACAAGGGGAAAGGAGAAAGGGAAAGAGAAACTGGCTGATATTAAACCTTAGTGAGGCTACTAATCAGTGCCATTTTTACATTATACAGTATACCTCTCATCTCTCCAGGCCATCATACAGACAGCTGCCAAAATAATCTTCCTAAATAAAAAATGTGAGTGATCATGTTTGTCTCCTGTTCAAATGATTTCATTGGTTCCTTACTGTCTAAAGGGGTGATTCTTAAACTTTTTGATGTCAAGACTCCTTTATCCTCTTAAAAATTAATGAGGATACCCCAAATAGCTTTTGTTTATAGCAGTTTTATCAATATATACCATGTTAGAAATTAAGATGTCATAGTATGATTATGAAATTACTTTTGACCTCGTGGACCCCTGGACCGCACTTCTGAGAACCTCAGTCTACAGGATAACTCACAAGCTCCTGGGTCTGGCCTTTCAAGCCCTCTGCCACCTGGCTCCTACCCCCATGTTCAGCCTTTCTTCACACTATTTTCCCTCTCCAGACTGTTTGGCATTCCCCAATCTGACCTGACCTTTCCTGCCCAATGCAGGCTGCTGCTGCTGCTGCTACTGCCAATCCCCGAAGACAACTCCCTCTGCCCCTCTTCGTCCTGACATCTTCTTCTTCCTTCAAGGCCCAGCATACCTTCTCCATGAAGTCTCCCTGGTCCCCATAGCTGAAAGCAGTCTCCCCCTCTTCAAACTTTCCTGGCACACCTTTTCTAGAGTGCTTCTTCTTTTCCCTGGCATAATATACCTCGGATCATCTTTATTTGAGTACATGTTGTATTTCCCCACTTGCCCATGAATTCCCCAAGGGCAGCACAACGTGATTTTTTTTGGTGTCATTTATTAAGTGCCTACTGCATGCCAGACACTTCTAAAACTTGGGATACAAAGAAGGGTAAAAAATATTTCCTGCTCTCAAGGAGCTCAGTCTAATCACTAATCAAGCTCCTGAAGAAATTCCTCTGGTTCCTCCAAAATGTGATTTCTAATGTTTGAATACTAAGTGCTGAGCACAGAACCTCACACACAGTAGGGGTTTAACACATATTTGCTAAATTTTTAATTAACTTAAATTTTATTTAAAAGGGGTTTCATGTTGGGAGGACAGTCTGTATTTGGCCCAATTATCGCATGTACTTGAACACAAATTGGCCACTTACCTCCAGAGAGCTCATGGAGAGCGTGGACACTGTCTCACTCTTGTTCACTACCCCCGTGGGTGCCCCTTCGCTGCTAGGCTCGCCTAGCTTGCTGGGGTGTGGCTCTGGGGCCAGGCTGTGTGGGGCTGGGGGTGGGGGGAGGGGCTGCTGCTGAGGTGGGGGCGGTGCTGAGGGTGGGGCTGGGGGTTGTGCAGGAGTCAGGGATGTGGCCTGGGCCTCGGGACAGGAGGCTGGCTCTCGGGGTGGGCTCTTCACCCCATAGCTTGGATCAGCTGCCATGTTGAGGTGGATAAGGCGGGTCTGGGGCATGTGGTCAATGTTGATGCTGTACTTTCCCTCTTCCTTGGGGGGCTTGGCCCGAAGGGTGGCGGTGTTGGTGGGCAGGATCACGTAGCTGGTGTCCAGCACCTTCTCCTGGGCCCGGCTCAGCTCAGAGTCCAGCTTCTTAAAGATGTCCCCATCACAGATATAGATGGACTTGGGGTTCTTGTCTTTCTTAAGAGTCAGCGTGTGGTTGGCGAACTCACTCAGGTTGACGCCACCCAAATAGTGGGGTGATCCCTGAAGGTGCATCTTGGACACGTTGGTGGGAAGACTGTTAAAGTTAGAGGGGGTCTTGGGGTGGTTGAGTTTCAGTTTCTCCTCATCCTGGATGGTAGGACGCTTCAGTGTCCCTGTGATAGTTGAGGTCCGGCAGGCCGTGATGTCCTTGTTCAACACTGCAGAAAGGGAGACACAAAGCAGGAGGAGAACTCAGGACTGTCCCCTTCTGTGAGACTGCGGAGTCACTGACACACTCATGCTCCCTCCCCTCCCCCCGGGCCAGCTAGGTCAGCCCCACTTGAATGGGGGTCTGGGTCTCTGCTCTGTGTAGGATGGGCCTTGAATGGTCTGGTGGGCTCAAACTCAAATAGAAATGGGTCTCTGAAGGTCACATATTGACTTAGAAAACCACAAATTAACATCATCTGTGTTATATTGCATTTTTATTTATTTCATTAAACATTTCCCAATTATATTTTAATCTGGTTCAGCTGCACTTAAGCAGCAGATCTGACATCTCTAAGAAAGGGCACTGCACCACTCTGGACTCTTGTCCCATCTCCGCCATAAGCACGCTGTGCCATCTAACAGATATAATCAAATGGGCTAAGTTTTGGTACCTTTACCACCTCCTAGATGATACTAATGAGATACTAATACTAATGGGTGAACAAAACAGATCATACAGACGGGTGGTTACTTGATTTGCCACTCACTGAATCCATGTGAAATGATTTGATTCTTCCTAAGAAAATGGCTACTATGAAAAACCAGGGTCATCTTCAGGAAATACAAGGACCAGAGAAGGGAATCTGCAGAGAGGCTGATTTGACTCACCCTAAAGACTTGTGTAATAATCAGTTCTGTCCCACAATGCCCTCCTCTGGTGGATAGCTAGCAATATTCACCATTGTATCTCAGATAGTAAATCGTCCCTGTCTGATGCACTGCTCATGAAATATTACGTTGTCATCTGTACTTGATGCTTCTCCTTTTATTAAACTGTGTGATCCATAAGGACAGGGACCTTAGTTCATCTAAACTCTGTATCTCCCCAGCATCGAACAGTGATCTGAAGATTGTAGTACAGATCTTGGATTGTGTTGGATAAATGAATGAGTGGTGAGTTCTCCATTCCTGGAGGTATTCTAGTAAGTGAAGGCTGAAGGAACACTTCCCAGGGATGCTTTGGAAGGGGTTTCTATTCAGTTGTGGTTTGAATTATGTGCTAAAAAGGTCCCATTCTGCCTTTGATGTCTTGTGATGTCGTGATTTTGCCAAGTTGAGAAACCTCCATCCCTACTGATTTCTAAGCGCTCATTCAAACAGGGAGTGAGAAGGCACTCCTGAAGCAGAGGGTTTAGCTGCCTGCTTTCAGATTAGAGAGTGTATGAATTGAGCAGGCAGTCATCTATTCAAATGAATCACAAAATCTCAGATCCAGAAGGGACCTGGGAAATCATACATTCCAAAATTCAATCAATGGTCACAGCGGTAGAACAAGATCAATTTTTTTTTTCACATGAGGGAGAAAGGACAGGATACTAAATAAGACTGATTCTAACTCAATATAAGGAAATGCCTCCTTTAAAAATGGAACTGGCTACTTCTGGAGTTAGGGGTGGGGATAGTAGGATCATCACTGAGATTATATAATCTCTGAGTTTCAGAGACCACGGAAGCCATGTAATGTAGATACAGCCTGTGCCTAAACAAGGTGTGTAAATGCCCTCTGAGATTTATCCAAGCTCTGGAGTTTGGTGATTGAAATATTTAGGATTATTGCCACAGTCCAGGTGACATACTTTATAGACATGCTTGTAGTTTATTCCAGCAAGATGGGAGAGAAGGCATCACTCATGAGATCTTGACTTGTTTCCCTTCTCCCTGACTTTAAAAGGGAAGAAGAGAGGTGACCACTTCCCTGAAGTTACATAGGTGATGATGGATTGGGGAAATGTCCCCCTTAAATGCCCTCCAGGTTGGAAGGGGCAGCTACCATGAACTACCAATTGTCAAAGGAATTTGGGAGTATTATGCTTTGGGATAGGAGGTGGGGGTTACTAGATCCAGGCAGGAAGGCTCATGGACAACAGCGACATTCTTTGAGTTTCATTTTAGATGGGCTATCTGAAATTGGATGGCACTGATTCATAATAGCGGAAGTTCATAGGATTTAGAACTTGGAAGGGCCTCCACCTCCAGAGAGCAAAAGTAGGCCCAGAGAAATGTTAGACAGATTTCAGCCCAATATAAGCTAGAACAATGTAAGTTAGAACTAGGTCATCTAGTCCAACCCTCTCATTTTACAAGAAAGGAAACTGAGGCCAGAGATGTTAAGTGACTTGCCCATAGGCAGCAAGTGGAAGATTTGAACCCAGGTCTTCTGATATGAAGTCTGAGACTCTTTCCACTTCACCTAAGTCCTTTCTTCTTTTCAAAGTCTTTTTCTGTCTCTTCTCAGTTGGTTCGTATCACAAGTCTCTGAAATGGTAGTATTATCATTTTACAGTGGAGGAAACTGAGGCCCAGAGGACTGAAGAGGACTTGTCTAAGGTCACATAGTGAAGAGGACAGAGCGCTGGACCTGGAGTCCAGAAGATGTGAGTTCAAATCCTGCCTTAGACACTTCCTAGCTATGTGACGCTGGGCAAGTCACTTAACTGCTGCCTGTCTCAGTTTTCTCATCTATCAAATGGAGATAATAATAGTACCTACTTCCCAGGACTGTAGTGAGGATCAAATGAGTTATTATTTGTAAAGTGCTTAGCACAATGCCTGGCACATAGTAGGTGCTTACTAAATGACTGTTGAAAATAAATTAAGGCACTTTGTAAACTTTAAAGCACTATATAATTATTATTATTACCACCAAAACAACCTTACCATGCCATGATGCTACAAATTAATGTTGGCATTGGGCAGGTTATGTTTTTTCCTTCGTATTAATGATTATTTGGTAGAAAAGACTTAAGGTAGAACTGGGAATATTGGCCCAAAGACCCTACACTGAATGGCCAACCTCCATCTTCCTCAGAAGATTTTTAGGCTTAGAGTAGCCCAGGCCAGTTTGGAGAGTGGGACCCAGATCCAGGGCAGTACAAACAACATGAATACATATACACACAGACACACAAACACATCTACTCTTTGTCTCCTGTAGGAACCCCAAGTTGTGCAGATGGCAGGTCCAGGCTGCAAAAGAAAGCATTAAGTTGCAGGCAAGGAGGTCTGGGGTGAAGTGAAGGAAGGAGGACAAGAGCTGAGGCCAGGCCTTGGTAGCTGGGGCTACTGACAGATGCTCACCACATAGCTCAGCCTGAGAGGTCAGGGAAAGGGATGCTAGGAGGTCCGAATTCCCCAAAGTGGAAAGCGACACTGGGACTGGGGGATTTTAGCATTCCTTAAAGTCAGATTAGAATTGAGTCAGTAAGGGCAGCTACTAACCTTGCTGAGAGTGCTTGGGTAAAAACATGGACATTGGACTATATGGGAAGGGCTACTGAGTGAATCTGATCCTCATGAAGGGGAGTGTATGCCAGTGAGGGTCAATCAGAGCTTGGCCATCAGAGCCAAGGGGCAGTTCAACCAGAGAGACCCAGTCATGTCCTTTTTAAAAGATTAGGGGAGCAAGGAAGAGAAAGGACAGGGTTGCAGTCTTTCCACAAGTCAGTGTCCAGACTATGGACACTCTTTCTAAGACCTTCCCAAGACAGTCTTTCTAAGAATTTAAGAAGATCATAGAATTTAGAGCTTCAAAAGACTTTCCATATTACTGTGTCTAAAATAGTCATTTTCTGTTAGGGTAAGGGAGAAGGGGTGGGGCCAGGGACTGAAAGTCAGTGAGGGTCACATGGCCCATTTTGGAAGAATGGGGAGGGTCTCAGTGGAATGGGAACAGGAACATCGACTCCTTGAGGACAGGATCTGCATCTTCTCCCTGAGAAGAGGGGTTCCCTGAAGAGAGAGATTGTGGTTTCCCTTTGGACTCAGCATTTCCCAAGGGCAGAAAGCGTCTCCTGCTCCAGGCTGGATTTTCCAGAGGTGGGCCTGGTCCTTCCCTTTCTTTTCTATATATCCTCCTGTACAGCTCTCTTGACTGTGCCCATATGGAGTATACACTATTAGGTGCTAATGGACTATAATGCCCTCCCCTGGCTTAACACTATGGAAAATAGCTTCCTTTCACGTCTCCAGTGTAGGCATGAAGAATTATGGATCAGCCAGAATAAGCCATACCGTGGAACACAGGAGAGCCGGGAGACAAAAGAAGACCTTGGCATCTGAGGAAGAATTTCCTTCAATTGCTCTGGAGCAAAACCAAATTACCTCCTAGACTGGAATCAGACAGGGAAGGCACAAGGAGAGAGAATGGTGGGGTGGGGAGGAAGGGAAGGGACAGGCCAAGGAGGATGGTAGCAGCTCAGCCCGAGTCCAAAAGCAGGGAGCTAGGAGGAGAGGAAAGGCATAAACACCCATATACAAACATGCACCCTCTCGAACACCCCCATCACACACAGATCCTGCGCAAACAAGGACACGAAGTAAAGAGAAAGCCAAGGCGGACCCCCAAAAGCAGGTCCCTTGTTGATTTCTCACCTGTCAGGTGCTCACCTGATCTACAGGCCATATCCACATCCTTCTCAAAATCAGTCTGAAAGACAGAGAGAGGAGAGGCCCGGGTGAATGGGGAGGGGGTGCAGGGCAAGGCATTTACATCACCCTAAATAACCATCAGAACTTTGTTTTGTGCAGAAAGCCCCAGGTTCCAAGGCACCTGACTTAGACCATGCATTTTCTGATTTAGCTGTTGTATTGTTATTGCTCATTTTTGATTTAGAGTAGAAAACTTCAGGTGTGTGAGCTCTTGCCACATCCCTCCTTACACATTACAGCCTTCCACATCCCTTGATGGCCCAGTCACACTGGCTTATTTGCTTTTGCTCATAAACGATGTTTCATCATCCATCACCTTGCCATTGCCCTGGCTATCCATCATCTCTGGAATCTTCTCCTTCCCCACCTCTAGCTTTTGGGATTTCTATCTGCCTTCAATACTCAGCTCAAGCCCTACCTTCAAGCCTTTCTTAACCTGTGAGAGCTGTCCCTTCTTAACTGCCTTGTATTTATTGATTTTGTATCTACACTGAATAGATATAAAATAGATACCTCTATGTGCTGTCTCCCCTGTCAGAATGGAAGCTTCTTGAGGACAGGAATTGTTTCACTTTTGTCTTTGTGTCTGCAACACTTGGCATAAGGTCTGGCACATAGTAGGCACTTAATAAATGCTTGTTGATTGATTGCCTGATTGATAATCTGTAATGTATTGTCTTATTTACATTATAATAATGTAAACAATATAATTGTATTGTCTATTGTCTTAGACAGTTGCCTGAGGGGACTGAAAGATTAAAAGACTTGTCCAGAGTCACATAACCAGTAGTATGCTACTGCTCTCATCTTCTCTTACACACTAATCACACTGTGGTTTAGAACAGGAGGAGGAAGGCTGGACCTTTGGAGAGCTTCAAAGTTCTACTTAGTACACAGAGTTGCTGCTTGAAACAAAGGCCCTTCTTTTAGTCTTCCTCTGATGACATAGCTGAAGGTGAGGGGGCTGGATTCACAGGCATCTCTGGTCTTTTTTTTTTTTTTTTTTTTTTTTTTTAGCTCAGACCCTATGATTCTATCACAGCCTGGGAATCACTGACCCTGTAAATCAACAGGAAAGGCCAGGAGGGGTCCCAGCTTGGAGACAGAAGAAGAAGGGAGTTAGGTTTAACTGAGGTTGGAGAGAGGTCATTGCATGCTTTACTTTCACAAGCTGGGTCTCCCAGACTCTGTCAAGGCAACAGTTCTGGGCATTTTCTCTGTGTTATATCCTTTGTCCTTTCCTTTTTTTTTTTCTTTTTGAACATACAAATGATTTAATTGCTGTATGCAACCAGGTAATTCCTACTGAGTCAACTTTCTCTACTACAGCATCTCAATAACTGTTTTGCAATGTCCGGTCTTTAAAGAATCACCTGGAAGACTGAAGAGTTAAGTGACTACCTATAGCCAGTATGTGTCAGGGATGGCATTTAAACCCAGGTTTTTCAGCATCTGAGGTTGGCAAAACTTGTAAGAAAATCCCAAACTACTATCTCAAGTGAGCTAAGGAGATTTCCGAGTCAAGGTGAGTTCCAGGCGGTGGGAAAAGAACAGAAGGGGCCTATATTCTAATAGTTTTAGAGGACATCCAGAAAATATCCCATATAGAAGGAGAAATCCACGTCCATATAGGCCCTCAGTCTCATAAGCATAGTCTGAGAGCTGGGAGGGATCTGGGTCCATCTAATCCCGAAGAGGAAGCCTCCTCAAAAGAGTCCTGACGAGTGGTTATCCAACCTCCCCTTCCAATGACAGCAAAATCAACATTTCCCAGGTGGGCACATTCCATTCTGGGGCAGCTTTAACTCTTGGGAATGTTCTTCTTCACACTGAGCCTAAGGCTGCGTCGCTGTAATCTGCACCCACTGCTTCTACTTCTGCCTCTGGGGTCCAGCAAAAAAACAGTTTAATCCCTCGGCCACCCAACGGCCTTTTGGTTTTTCGAATATAAGTCCCATATCACCCCTAAATCATTTCTCAGTCAGGCCAAATATCCCATTTCCAAATGAGGAAGCGTGTTGAATTGGTTGCTGCTGCTGCTGACGATAGTTTCTATTTCTCTGATGGGGTGAGGTTTACAAAACACGTGTGAGATAGGTAGGTCCTGCAAATATGATTTATCCTCATTTTATAAAAGAGGAAACTGAGGGTCTGAGGCCCCTATGACTCTGCGACCTCCCGGCTCAGCTGGGGTTAGGGGCCGATGAAGGCACTGGATCCTACCATGAGCTGTGCATGACCATTCTGGAAAGATCCCCCTGAGTCACCGTTGCCTTCCTCCTGCCGATCTACCACCCGACACTTCACAGCGTCCTGGACCTGGGGGAAGGAGAGCGTAGAGCGGTCAGGGAGAGCGCTGCACCACACCAACCCCCTAAAACACAACAATAACCTAGTCCTCATCACTGCAAAGCTGGCACACCCAACATCTGCCTGCAAGGGGCTGCCAATCTTGAAGAAGACTGGGATTTCCATAGGTTGGGAATCAAAAAGCACAACCCTATCTGCTGAAAGGAATTACAGAAAATGATTATTAAGTCCCCTTAAGTTCTACAAAGTGTCTCCCTCACAGCAGCCCCTCTGAGACAGGCAATGCTATTATAATTTCCATTTTACATATGAGAAAAACTGAAGTTTATCTAGGCAGACTAACTTCTTCTCCAGGGTCAAATAGAAAGTAGATGTCAGAGCTGGACTCTGAACATATTTCTTCTGGGTTTAAAGTTGGTACTCTTTCCACCAGACCCATGGCTGCACCGTGGGTGAGGATGACCATTGTGTGATGTCTCCCATAGGAGTCTTGGTAAATTAGAAAGAGTTCTAACTCTGGAATCGGAAAGCCTGGGCTCAAATCTGACCTCTGATTCTTACTACCTGTGTGATTTAGGGCAATGATGATGATGATGATGATGATGATGAAAATAACAATATTTTACAGGACTTTAAAGTTGACATGACACTTTACCAATATATTTCATTCGAACCTCACAACAAGCCTGAGAAGTTAATGTGATTACCTCCATTTTCTAAGTGAGGAAACTGAGGCTCAGATACGTTACATGACTTGCCTAGGGCCACAAGTCCAGGGATTCCAAGTCCAATCACTGCCCACACATAGCTGACTCAGCGAGGTACCCAACTTTCCTGGATCTTAGTTTCTTTATCTGTCAAGTGAGGATGTTGAACTAAATGGTCTCTGAGGTACCTTTTAGCTCTAGGCCTGTTGTCTTAATGAACCCTTTGCTTCTAATTATGTGATTCGACCACTGTGACAAATTCTGTGGCAGGAGGTATTGTCAGAAAGGGCACTGCTGGCTGTTGATGGGCACCATGAAGCTTGCCATGTTTCAACAGTGGCAGCAACTTCTATGGAAGAGGACTATGTCAGTAAGAACACCAGATTCCGGTGAAGGGGAATAAAATGTTTGCATATAGTTAGCTGTACTGTAATAAGAACAATGATATGAAAAGAACTCTAACATAAGATACAAGAGAACTCTAGTCTCATGGGGCCATCTTTCTTCTTCCTGTGATTCAGAGTTGGCATCTGCTGGCTTGACAATCCTTTCTCTCAACTACCACTGCCCTGCTCCCAACCCACTCCAGCTCAACTTTCTGTCCCCCATCCAGATCCTCCTTTGCCCTCCTGGTCCACTGTATGTTCTGAAAGCCCCATGCTATCATTTGCAAACTTCCTTTATTCTGAATTGGTTCACTTCACACTCTTTCCGTATTCAGCTCTTCAAAGAAGCCGGAACTCCTCTAGAAGACGCTGCATCCCTGGCTGTCCACTTTATCACTGGAGACTCTTTTGCTCATGACCTCCAATATGCTATGTGCAAAGGAGGGATAAGCATTCAGTATTCCTCACTCTTATTTCCAGACCATCCCTTTGTCACCACCACTCAGTATGGGGTTCACTCCATCTGTCAACATCTCCTGGCCCAGATTCTTGCTAAAGTCGTCTAACACCCTCTAGGACATTCCTCCTACTTTCTGAAGAAGTTCACTATTTGGCTCAGCTTTACTCTCCTTGTTGAACCTGTCCTCATTTTTGGAAACTTTAATATGTGTATTGATGTGCCTTTGACATTTTACCCTTCTTACTCCCAAGCCTTCTTACATCCCATGACCTTTATGTTCAGCTACCAACAGGGACAGTCATACCTAAGATCTCTCCATCAACCATAACTTTGCTACATCCATGACCTTCAACCCAAAGTTCTTCCCTCTGGTAATAACCTCCTATAATTCCATTTTTCCTTCTGTCTTAGTCTTCTTAAATATCTATATTTTTCTTACTTTCCCCTCCAGGTTCCCAGTATTTCCTTATTCTATATGATTGTTGACCTGATGGTTGGCCAGTTCAGTTATTCTCTAAATCAAGGCTCATCCAGCATGTCTCCTGACCCGTTTCCAGCTCTTCTGTGTAGGTTGTCTTCCCCTAGGAGCTCCTTGAAGGCAAGGACTGTCTCACTTGCTTGTATTTGGATCCCCGGTGCTTAGTAATGCCTGACAATATTAAGCATTTAGTAAATGACCTATATATCTGTCTGTCTATCTCTCTATCTGTCTCTCTATCTATTTACTTATCTACCTACCTATATCAATCCATCTATGTAACATTTACCTCTCTCTCATCTTTCTCTATGATTAATCTATCATCTATCTAATCTATCTATCAACTAACCATCTTCTATCTATCTATCTATCTAGCTACCTCTCATCTATCTATCCACTCATCCATCTATCTGTTCATAGTCAGAACTTAACAAGGTATTTCAAATTGGACTGAAATCAGGGAAATTGTGTCCACTCATAAAAAAAGAAAGGCAACCAGCTCAAATGAAGGGGATTAGCTATTAAAGGAGAGTCAATTCTGCTGGAGGGGAGTGTGTGTCAATGAGAGCATTGTTGCCTGGGAACATTACCTCCTGTAAGCTACCTACATTACACTAAGCAGAAAAAGACACAATTTCGTATGATCATGGAATCACAGATTTAGACCTGGGAGAGACCTTAGTGGGCATTTAGTCTAACTTCATCATGGGCTAACAATGATATTGGCAATGGCCATCCATTTTCAGGTGGAAGGGTCCTTTAAAATAGTCAAGTCAACCTCAACCCCCCTCCCCTAATTTGACAGAAATGTAAACCAAGGCCCAGAGAGATCTGTGACTTATTCAAGTTCACATTGATAGTAAGGGAGCAGAACTCAGGTTTCAAATACAAGTCATCTGATTAAAAACTCAGGATTATTTCCACTATATTATGCTCACCCTCAAGATCATCATGAGATTGAGAGCTGGAAAAGACCTTTCTGAGGATTGGGTCCAATGGCCTGTTCCTACAGAGGAGGAAATGAGCAGTCCCAGAGAAGGGAAATGTCTTGCCCAACATCACACAAGTAGCAGAGAATCTGAGCCTAGGCCCTGATATCAAGTTCAACTCACTTTCCTATTTCCTCCTGGGGCAAGTGGTTAAAACTCAGGTCTCCCTTGAGTCACACCCACTCTGGTTATAGCTCTTTAAGCATTTGTGGAGTCAGTTTGTCTTACGGTCACCTCAACTCAATGCTGTGTTACTTTCCAGTGCAGGTCACTGGTCATAGGACTTGTCATTTGTACTATAAACTTCATCACTTAGAATCTCATAATCTTAGGATGTTAGTCCTGGAAGTAACCTTAAAACATAGAATATCAAAGCCAAGGATGGGTTTTGGACCATAGAACATGGAATGTCAGAGGTGGAAGAGAACTTAGAATGTGGTATGTCAGGGCTGGATCTTAGAACACAGAGACCCATAGAGATTATTCAGTTCAATTGCTTCATTTCCCAGATGAGGAACCTGCAATCTAGAAAGGTAAAAGGTGATCTGGCTTGAGGTCATAGAGCCTTAAGCAAGGATTCCAGCAAGGAGTCCTAACAGCCATGCCAAGATTTTATCTACTATGACAATACTATAATATTAGTACAACATTTGGTCTTTGACCCTTAGCTGTAGGCTTCCAGAAGGCAGAAATCAGGCCGTAATTCCCCTTCTCTCCCATCAGTGCCTAGATTGAATTGGCTAGCCAAGGCTTAGTGAATTCAGTGCACATGGCTGAGTGTGCATTCCTGGGAGATGGCCCACCTCACGTCGGAGGATGCAGTGTACCATCACGATGACAAAGCCCTCCAGTGAGTCGAAGACGGCGAAGAGGATCTGGAAGAGGGCAGAGCGCCGATCAGTGACAGCTAGGACGGCGGACATCCAGGTGAGAGCCAGGAGTGGCAGCACCACGCAGGAACTCCATAGAGAGGCCCTACAGGAAGGATGGCAGACAGGTGGATTAGGTAAGAGGCTGGTAGTACCTGTGCCCATCATAGGGAGGAAAGAGTTTCCCAAGGCCCTGGTCTACCCACTTCCTGTTGCCTATTACCCACCATCTGCCTAGGAGGAGAGCCCCATGCAAGTGGGAAAAGCCCAAGGACCCAGCCAGAGACAAGAGTTAATTTGGCAATGCTCCCTAGGGCCTGACAGGGAAATCCTGAGGAGGCTGTCCAATCTACAAATCTTATTCTTCAAAGATCAAGTGGGAAAAGCCTGGATGAGGGAACCTCTTGACCACTCAGTTTCAGCAGGGCAAAGAGAAGGGAGAGAACAGGGGATCATCTGATGCTGTTTAAGGACTAGGTTTGTTTGGGGAACAGGCCTCACATCACTCCCCTCCCTCCATTCAGTGGCACAAACCCTCTGTGCCCTCCAACCTTCCTCTGTTGTGGCATTTGTCTCTGTCTCTCCCCATCTCTCTCCAGCTTTGCATGTATTTTTCCTCATATGTCTCGGCTTTTCTCTCTTCCTGTATCTGTCTCAGCCTCCTTGTCTCTCTGTCTCACCCAGCCACTGTCCTCTGTCTCTGTCTCACAGTTTGGTTCTCTATTGGTCTTCTCTACCCACTTCTGTTTCTTTCTCTTCCAGTCTCTTACCTTGCCTTGCCTCTCTCTCCTTGGGTCTCTGTCTGTATGTGTTTCTGTCTGCCTGTCTTTTTCATTTATCTCTCCTTGTCCCTATATGTTATTCTGTCTTCTTGTTCCATCTCTGCTTCTGGACCTATCTCCCTGTTGTATTTTATTTTTGTCTCTCTTTCCCTCCTTGTGTCTCTGTTTCTTTCAGCCCGCTTTCTGTCTCTGTGTCTTCTCATTCCTATCCCCAATACATCTTCAGCCATTCTTGGTCTGATCACAAAACCTCTCCCCCTCACCCCATTTTTTCCCTGGATCTCTCCATGGGGAGCCTCTAAGTCTTGGACACAGGTTTAGCAGCTGAGCCCGGGCAACTTGAAGTTGGGACTCTCCCTGAATTCTCCCTTACTCCTTTCTCCCAGGTCCCCAGTCTCTCCAAAGAAGTTGGAGAGTAGCTAGAAAGAGGGACCTGGGGCCTAGTTCCACAGGAGGCCTCTGACTGTAGCTAGGCAACAGCAGGGTCTTCTCTTATGTTACCATGGTGATTGGGACCTTCCAAATACTAGTAGGACCTAGGGAATGTAGAGGGATGTACTTTGGGAGAGGAGGGAGAAAAATGGGTTCTTTCCCTTCCCCAAAGTCCTCCATCAAGGGAGGATGGGCTCAGGATTGGTAGGATAGGATGGCCAAACCTCACTCCAGGGACCTGGGTTTAGTTACCCAGAATCTAGGAATAAAAAAGGCTATAGGAGACCTGACAAACATTGCCCTGTCACAAGCCATCTTCCCCCAGGAGAGGAACGCCAGGCTCCTCAAGGAGTGAAGGAAGGATCCTGACCCACAGCTCCCTTCTCTTTCTTTTTGACACCAAATGTCCTCAGCAAGTAGGCACTGGTTCTAGCCTTCCGGAATGGACATTTTCAACCTTTCTCCCAAAGAAGGGCCCTCAAACAGCATCCCCCCATTTCAGACCCTGTGCAAAATAAATAAATAAATAAGGTATATGCATTATGTGACCATCTATATCTTTTTGCCTTTTGCCTCAGGAAAATTTGGGCTTGTTTTTAGCATATGTCCTTCTGCCTTTCTTTTTAGAGCTAGTTAGACATTTTGGTTTGATTTTCCCCCTAAAGAACTATTCTTGTTTTTCTCTGCTTATCTGCAATACACTCTTTTCTCAGATACAGTCAGAGAAAAAGAACGGGGAGAATTGGAGAAGAGAGAGAGAGAGAGAGAGACAGAGAGACAGAGAGACACAGAGACAGAGACAGAGAGAGACAAAGACAGAGACAGAGAGTGAGACAGAGACAGAAAGAGAGAAAGAGAGACAGAGACACAGTGACAGAGACAGAGACAGAGGCAGAGAGAAAGGAAGAACAGAGGATGGAAGGAGAGGAAGTGAGAAGGAGGAAGTCAGACAGAAACAGAGGCTGAGAAATGGGTACTCTTACTGTTCTGGCCTTTCAGCATGTTATCTTTTTATGGGTGTGCTATCTTCTCAGTCAGACTCTAAGCTCCCTGAGAGCAAGGCCTAGGTCTGTTCCTCTGTCTGCCCTAGATTGTGGGTTCCCTCAGGATCAGACAGGTTTATTCTCTCTCTGTTCTGCAGGCTTGCTAAGCACAGAGTCAGGTCCATTATTTCTTCTGTCTCCTCCACTGTGGCAGTGGCCACAGAACTAGACCCAGAGTAGCGGCGCTTGCAGACTAATGGTCTGCTTGAACTCAGCTGACACTTGAGTCTAGGGGCTTATTCCTCACTCATGTACTGAGAACTCCTGGCAGACTGTCTCTGGTCTGTTCAAAGGTCCTGAGATGGGCCCCTGGACTTCCCTCCCATCTCCCATCCCTCCCCTGCTCCTCCCTCTTCCCCTCTTCCCATCCCCATGGGGCCAAGACGGGACTGGACAGGACAGGACAGGACATGGGCAGAAGGACATGGAGGCAGCAAAGAGGGGAAGGCTGGGAAGGGAGAGAAGCCAGAGAGGGAAGATATGAGCAGGCAGAGAAGGATTAAAAGGAGGAAGGGATGGACAGGCAAGTGGGAGGGCCTGGGGAATCCAGAGGGAAGACTGAGGTCAGTAACTGGAAGGGGAAAGGAAAGAATTGGTGATTACAGGGGCCTGTCCAGTTGTGCCCAGTCTTCAAAGTCCCTGATGCTACAAGACAAGGGGGACGCCTGCCTGGGAGTTGGGTCAGGACTCCTTCCGGAAGCAATCTTTCTTATAAAAAAGGGCTGTCCAATTCCTGGGATGAAGGGGAGTTCTCATACCCCACACACATACACACACAATGCACATATATCCACACATGCACACACACAGAACCACATAATACTAGAGTTGGAAAGACTATCCAAGAAACTTCCTTACTTTCCAAAGGGATAAACTGAGACCCAGAGAGAGGAAGTATAGAAAAGGGACTTGCCCAAGATCACCTGACTAGCGAGTCTCATACCCCGGTCTGCTGAATATACGTCCACAGCTCTTTTTGTTATTTATACATGCCTACAGGCACAGGCGTGCATTCTTACACAAAATACATGCATGCATACAATACATACATGGCACATTCACATATATGCCTTAGGTACATTCTCTTTTTCTGAGACCTAGCAGATCCAGAGAAGGAGCTGAATGTTTCACAGACTCCTCCAGTTGGAAGAGCCCCAGAATCATCAGCCAGTACTTCAACAGCAATGCCTTCCACAATATTCCCAAAATCCAGCCCCTCAACTTGAAGAGCTCTAGTGATAGGGAGCTCACTACCTGGCCAGTCAATTCCATTTTGGAACAGTTCTTTCTTTGGAAGTTTTCCCCTACAATGATGTGGTTTTGTGGTGACAGTGGCAGAGAGAGGAGGGAAAAGGAATGGAGGAGTGCATTTTTTCTTGACAGCCTCACACATCTCCCACTCTCTCAAAATTGATTTGACCCAGTCAGACCATGAAAGCCTTCCACTTCCCAGCTCAAGAAATCCATTGTTCCCATCTCTCCTGCCCTCTCTCTGCCAAGACTCTCTAAGGATCTCCAAGGGCAAGATAGAGCAAGTCCTTCATGGAAACAGTGACAGAATTTAAAGCACCCTTCCCACTTCTCCCACCTTAAAATCTTGGTTTAATAATACATATTCCCATTTCTAGATTACTTTAGGGTAGGTAGTATGAGGTTCATTCTTCCCTCTGCTCCCCTTTTTTACAGAAGAAGAAACCAAATCTCAGAGAGGAAACATAATTTGCCAGAGTTAGTGTGAGAGCTAGGATTGAAGGCATTGTCCCCTGACAATGTACAAAGCACACTGTCTCTTGACAAAGTATAGAGTCCTACCCAGTAGACCACACTACCCAAAGTAAAGTCTGGCCTGGGGCTGGGGATAATGACATCCCACCTTCATCCCTACCTCTGGGGTGCCTCCTCCCTTGTTGGCTGCCTCGATCTCCAACCTCACTCTCTGTATCTTTCTGGTTGAGCTAGAGATATAAGTGAGGACTCAGCTTACTGAATGCTGTATTAGTTTGTCAGTTATTTTGTAAGTGACCGTACATCCTGGATGTTCAAGGGGGTAGGTGTTCTCTCTCTTATCAGAGTAGAGGCTCCCTGAGGCAGGACCCAAGAAATTTAGGTCTCATTGAGGATAAGGCTGTATTTCTTAAAACCTCTGAATCCATCACACAAATGGAATTTTAGCAGAAGCGGAAACTGGATAAATTAGTCTTTTGATTTGACTATTAGTATTGGCAAATCCTTACAAATATAAAATCATTGAAAGGTCTTTTTCTTATGCACAGGTTCTGATTTGGATAATTATTAACACTACCTCTCCTTTGACACAGGGACTTAGGATTCATAGAGACCCACCAATATATGTCAACTTTTGTGAATAAAGTGCAGAGTCCTAAACCACATCAGCTGGTAGGGGCTCTAAGCTATGTTGCTAGTAAGGGAAATGGGATGTGTTGAACCATGCATATTCACTCTGATGTTGTTTAGAACTCAGTCTATGCACAGGGCTACAGCACAATTTGGAGACAGGGTCAGGCTTCAGTGTATAAGCACTGTATCTTTATTTTCATTAACCCCTAACTGACATGAAGTACTTCTTTCAATTAGGTTGTAATTGTTTACTCTATTAGATTGTAAACTCCTTGAGGTCAGGGACTGTATTTTGCCTCTTTTTTTTGTATTTCTAGCACTTAGCACAGTGTCTGGCATGTAGTGGGTGCTTAATAAATGTTTAACGATTGACCTAAAAAAAAATCCATAGACTTCACCAGACTGCCAAAGAAGTCCATGACACAAAAATGGTTAAGAACCCCTGGTCTAGGGCCAAGGTCAAAGTTCAATCGGTGCCGAGGGTCAGACTTCCGGCTTTAAATAGAGTTAGGGCCCAGTCTCAAGATTCAGTCTGGGACCAAAGTTAAGGCTCAGCCTATGACCAGGGTTTGGGTTCTTCAGTCTATGACCAGGTTTAGGGCTCAGTCAATGACCAAAATCAGGTCGCTGTCTGTGATCTTGTGTAGGGCATGGTTTGTAGACAGAAACACCTTTTTTTCTCCATGAACACAACTAGCTAACGTAGAAAGGGAAGTTGTGGCCCTGGTGACATCAGCTCCCTGCCCTGCGCTGTCCCTAACCACCCTGACCCACCACCAGCTGCTGACATCTGCATTCATAGCTTCCGTCTGGTTACTAGGCAGGATGCCTGAATTCTCTCCCAGGCGAAGGCTCCAGGATGGCTTAGAAAGAACTAGATGAAGAGATAACATCCAGACTCTCTCTCTGGCCTCGTCTCTCCTTGTCAGTCTCTCCTAAGTTCTCCTGACCTTTTCCTCCCAGGCTTCCTAAGCAGCTTTCAGAGTTTGATGGAATGAGCCCTGGATTCAGAATCAGAAGACCTGAGCTTGAGCCCTACATTTACTATATGATGATAATGATATTATAATTATTAATCATAATAGCTGACATTTATATAGAATTTTAACACTTATAAAGTTTTCCAGAGGCTTTATTTCATTGGAACCTCTTAAGAACTCTGTGCTATAAATATCATTATACCTATTTTACCAATCAGTAAACTGAGGCTGAGAGATTAAAAGATTTGTCAACAGTCATATAATTAGTAAGTCCCAGAGGCAGGATTCAAATCCAAGTCTTTCTGACTCCAGGTTTAGGATCCCTTCCACTATACCATGTTGCCTCTTAAATGTTGTGGTTGTGTTACCTTGGGCCATCCTCTTCTACTCTCTGGGACTCAGTTTCTCCCTCTATGAAACTGGGGTAATAATATTTGTATGCTCCCTACTTTACCTACTGTGGGTAAAGCATGTTGAAAATGCTAATGATGATGCTAATGATGATGATGTGGGTGGAATGGGGGTAGTATTGGAATAGGAAGAGCCCAACAATTCTGTTAACTGTCTTGTGCCTTCATAATTCACCTGCCAGTGGGTTAATCTCGGACTACGAACCTTTAGGAGGGATTTGGTCACAATGTCATCATCTGGTTAAGACCTAACTAAGGTTTTCACCACGGCCACAACCTTGGGGGCTAGAAATTACTATCATTTTGGCAATTCCAGACCCAGGCCCAGAAACTTTATAGCGAACATGCAATGAAGACAGTGCTGAATTTGGAGCGAAAGGTGGCTGTGCAGTCGTTTCAGGTGTGTCCGACTCTTTGTGACCCCATTTGGAGTTTTCTTGGCAAAGATACTGGAGTGGTTTGCTATTTCCTCCTCTAGCTCATTTTACAGATGAGGAAACTGAGGTAAACAGGGTTAAGTGACTCGTCCAGGGTCACACAGCTAGTAAATGTCTAAAGCCAAATTTGAATTCAGGGGCTTCCTGACTCCAGGCATGGCACTCCGTACGCTGAGCCACCTAGCCGGAGGACCTTGGTCCAAATCCTGGATCTGCCACTTACTACCTGTATGATCTCAGACCAGTCACTTCACTTTCCAACCTTCATTTTCCTCATCTACAGAGGTTGGATTAGATGTTCTTCATGGGCCTTTCCAGGTCTATGTCAATCCAGTGATCCAAAGAAAAAAGGTGAAGGGAAAATGTGCAACTCCCTAATATATCTCAAAAAGTTGAGACCCCTGAGTTCTCAGAAGGCACAAGATCTCAGGAGTTAGAGCATGAGGGGATCACAGAGCATGGGAATCCCAGACCAAGAGCTGGAAAAGCCTTAGAGACCATCTCTAACAACCCCTTGGAAGAAATTTTATTTTATAGATGAAAAAATTGAAGCCCAGAACCCTACCCTAGCTACAGCTGGTTCCAGAACCCATCTGGAAAGGGAGAAGGCCAGTACCAGTGGAAATCTTGCCATCCCCTGAGGGCACAGTAGTAGTCACCAACTCTATTCCTTCTAGTGTGATGGATGGTAACTATCTGCCCCATCCTGGCCTCCTCAGGTCCTCCAGGCCTTACCATCTGCCCCACCAACATCCCCTGTAGATCCTCAGCACTGCCACTTAAACAAATGATATGAGCTAAGGACCTCTGGTTTCTGTCCTCTGCAGAAACAGGACTTCCAGGCCTTTCTTTTCTGCCTTGAACCGGAATTTTCTTTTATGTGTTGTCTCTCCCAATTAGAATGTGAGCTCCTTGAGAACAGAAACCTTCTCACTTTTTCTATTTATATTCCTCAGTGCTTAGCACATAGTAAGTGCTTTTTTATGTTCATTTATTTATTCATTTTTTTTTACAAGGAGAGGGAATTGAGGCTAGAAAATGACTTGTCCAAAGTCAAACAGTAAATCAATGACAGATCTTACTTAGTAACTGTGTGACCTTGGGCAGAACATTTCCCTATTCTGACCCCTGTTTCTTCACTTATCAAATGTGGATAATCATAATATACTACCTACCTATAAGGGATGTCATGAGGAACAAATGGAATCATGCTTATGTGATATTATTAGTATAGAAAATATATATTATTATAGGACAGTGCTATATAAAGACCACGTATTATTGCTGGTCTCTGTTCCCTTCCTTTCTCTTCCCTGCATCTCCCCCTTCCCTCCACACCTAACAGACAGTAAATGCTCAAACTGAACTAGAAAGAGATTAAACAATGGGTAATCTTAGGCTGCAGCCAGGGCCCTCTGATATTGAGTATTTCTTTCACCTGGAAGACCAAGGGAGTCATTAATGACCACTTGCTTTGGGCCATTAGACCAGTCCTGAATCAGTCTAATTATATTCTCACCTTGAGTGCCCCATCCTCAACCTGATTCAGTTTCCAAGTCTTGGTTCTTTTTGCTTCATTTGTTTCTCTCCTAGGTGCCCTTTGGGCCCTCTTATTCTCCTGCTCAAATGCCTTTGGTGTTTCCAATACCCCCATGTGCCTCCTCCTGTCCCCAGCAGGCTGGTCTCTTACATAAGCTAGGCTCAGTCCTTCATCTTGTGAGAGGTGGGCCCTCCTCTTATTCCCTGCATGAATCCTGTATTTCTCTCAAGGCCCAATCAGCCCCACCTCCTGGGAGCTTTCCCTGACTATTCCAGATGTAAAAGTCAGAACCACAGTGATCTATTAGCAAGACTATTGAACCTTGAAAGTGCGTATATTATTTTTCAGCTTTTAACAATGAGTATAGGGCCCTGAACGTGTAGGTGCTTTTACACATTTGAGTTCAATCAAAATTAATCTAGAGTCACAGATTTGATTATTGTGTGGGCCACAGGATCATAGGATTTAGAGCAGGAAGGAAGCCTAGGATTATCTCATGAAATCTTCCTCATCTAACAGACTCAATTACTCCTTCTAAGAAGATTCTCTTCCATGACCCCAGACTGATCCCTTAATCTCAAGCCCCAACTTGAACCTTAGCCCAGTCACAGACAGAGACCAGAGTTTGACCACAGGCTGAACCCAGATCCTGGTCACAGACCGAGACTTAATCATGAATACAGACTGAACTCTAACCATGAGGACACGCCACGCCCAAAGCCTGAACACGAATGGAGCCCTAACTCTGACAAGATACAGAACCCTACACCTGAACACTGACCCTAACAAAAGACTGAATCCTGAATCTGACCACAGACTCAGCCCTGGCCTTGGTCACAGACCGACTGACTCCAGACACTTCCCTTGCCCTCATTTCAGAGTGAGAAACCCCAAGGTTGAAGGGGAGGAGGACAGAAAGGAAGAGCCAAGGCAAAAGATGGAGGGAAGCAGGAAGGAAGGAAGGAAGGAAGGAAGGAAGGAAGGAAGGAAGGAAGG